TAGCATATCAAAGAAATAACTAAAGGCACGAAACAAAGTTTAGCTTTAGTTAGGAAGAAATTTGCCTTGGTGGACATGTTATAAATCAAAAGAAGCAAAGTGAGAGATCAATTAACATATGGACAATCGTTTCAACAAAGCTTACCAATGAGATGCATGCAACTGGTACAACTTCATCAGAATGTAGAACATCAACAATGAGGTCTGTGTAAATTGTGGTGTTGATGTAATGCCCTCCAATTTGTATGATTGGCGGAGATGTTACAGATATATTAAAATCCATATTCTGATCAGGATATTGTTCGTACAGTTGAGGAACAATATATCTCCACCCTGCAGTGTTCAGAAGGGACTGTTCAGGCATCTCGTCAACAGTCCAGTGCATATAATTTGCCTAACCACCAAAAATAATCAGTTAAAACATGTACAAGATACATTCTTGTTTTATCTTGTGTCAAGTTTAAAATTATTACTATGAAACTTACATTGAAGTATAACAAAGAAGCAGATTCAAAAACAGTTTCATCTAATGAAAATTCAAACATTTTCATGGAGCCTTTGCAGGAAACAGAATGACGTGATCCTTTATGGTAATGCCTTGAGACCAATATTTCATCCGCTCCAGTAATCAAACCATTAATTTCAAGTTCAACGGAAGAATCACTCAAGACAGGGCTGCTAGTAAAAGTAACATTTAGGGCAGCAATGCTATTGACCCGGATTTGTCTTGGAAGTGACTGCAATAAGGAGTCAAGCTTTATCATCCCTTCTCTGATCTTCTTGGAAACAGCATTTTCAACTGAGGTAACTATTTTCCGTTGAAAAGCATCAACTAACCTGGGGAATAACATGACTAAATACAGTAGGCATGAAATATCTTTAGCTAGACACATACAAGAAAGCTGAGAAATGTAGAGTCAAGCAGTGTTTTGACATGGAAACAGATTTCACCATCCAAGCAACAGAATACTACATTAACCCTGAAAAACAGATCCTTTTTAATCAATTTGTTTCCATTTTTCCCAGAAAAATAACTCCATGTATTAAAACAGCTATACAGAAGATTGGAAAGGGAGGGAAAATTGGATTTTGAGATATCAATGGCATATAATTTTACATCACTGTTTCTGGTTCATGCCAGAAAAGAAACTAAGGAAAAGGAATACATACACTTGATAAAGCCAAGATGCTCCACCATCTAACTTTATAGAGACGTCTTCAACATTACAGCCACAATCCAAGAGTGAGAGCGTGAGAGTTCCTTCTTGGTAATTTAAAGCTACATCAACACCAACCGCCATGCCTTGAACCTGTGCAGAAGCACCAAGATGCTCATGAACTAAGGTAAAACATCTAAAAGCATGTGAGAGCCATCTCATTCTACATTACTCAAAACTTCACATCCAAAATCATGCCATGAAACCTTCAGCTATAGAGAATCTGAGAAGCATATATCAAAATATTTTCATTTGCTATGACATATTGCTGAAACTTTTATTTTGCTGCAACTTCACTCTTCATTTTATCCAACAATCACACCTCCCCACTTATTTCTTTGCTTAAATTGATAATCAAGATGCATTCCTTTACCTAGAAAGTTTCCAAGAAAACTATTCTCCATCCATGACTTAAATGCATTCAGGTGATACCTATTTCCACAGCATTAATATGCGAGCATGCTAAAACCTTGATTGGAAAGAGAAACATAGAAAGAGGGTAGCACAAAGGTAATTTGTCATTTTCTGTCCAAATTGATGTTTTTCTTCATTGATCAACAATCATATAATGGTTTCCATGACTCTGTCTTCTTAAGCACCAAATTTCCAACATATACAATAGTTAATCAAATTGAAGCAGAGAAATAACAAGAAACCCCATTTACCCAAGCCTAATGATTTAAGACAACTTTGTCTTCAGAAACAAACATCTCCTGTCTAGCTCTTGTCATATTCTTACAAAGCATAACAGAACAAAATATTAATCCACAATTCCATACCTCAACAAAGGCACTTCCTTGATCAGAAATGGGAACTGGGACCAGCCAAGTGCGGTAAGAATAGCTCCAGTTCATGCTCAAATTGGCGGTAGCAACTGAAACAACTAGGACAACACCAGACTCCCCAGTTCGAACAAATGAAGAAGAAATATCAACACTGTAAATTGTGATGTTGGATAGAGCGACATGAACTCTCCCAATAACTGGGATTTTCACATACTTGTCAATATCTGGAACTTGAAGTGGAATCATTGAAGAAACCGCCTTATTTATCAGCAGATCCTTGGCAAAATCAAGACCCTCGTTGGAAATCAACGCAGAAATGTATCCATCTTCACCGGATTCAAGATGGGAACTTGCAAGGATGAACAGAAATGATAAAATTACGAGTAGTATAATACGAAGCATGGGTTTTGAGAAAACACCCATCTGAAGAGAAGGATAAGTGATTGAATAAGATCATCAAACTCCAGAAAACATCTGAGTAAAGAATAAGGTAGAGGTTTACGAGTGGCAATTGCAGAGATTTTCTTAGATGAGTCAGCCAAATTTGTGACGAAAAGCTGACAGCCACAGGTAGACAATGATGAGGAGGTTTGTTTGTTGGTCGAAGTTTTGGTCTTATCTTAATTACTTTGACTTTGTTCCGCTAAAGAACACCCGGATCCGAATATCCAATGCCAGGCAAAAACCCTCTTTAACCCCCTAAACTTGCCTCAAATTAGCATTTAAGCCACTAAACTAAAAATAATGTAAATAAGCCCTCTAACTCTTTGACTAATGCAAATAAACCCTTTATGACTAACCGTACTAATGGCCCAAACGACTAGATTGACCCCATTTGTTCCATTCCCTTCCCTTCCCTTCCTTTTTGTTTGTTTTAGATGTTGATATGGAGAGATCTTTAAGTTTTGCTAAATTTCTAAAAATTATAAATTAAAAAAAAAAAGTCATTTTGGAACCATTTTTTTATTTTATTTTTTTTTTTTACTTTTGGTTTTCTTTTATTATTTGTTTTTTTTTTTTTATTTGTTCTTTGTGTTTTTTTTTTTAATTATTTTTTAAAATTTTTTTAAAAAATATATAAAAATGTTGTTTGTTTATCATTATCAAAAAAATAAAAGAAATTTGAAATGGATTTTTATCTATGTTGGCACCTACATCACCACATTAGTATTGCCAAACAAATTTAATCCATATTAAAATGATTGTTAGTCATAAAGGGTTTATTTGCCCTAATTGAGGAGTTTGGAAGGCATATTTATATTGTTATTAGTTGAAAGGCTTAAATGCTAAACTGGAATAAGTGCAGAGGCTTAAGAAGGGTTTTGCCCCCACTCCACATTAGTGGTCTTTACCATATGAACATAATAAATTAGATAAATTAGTAACTATAAAAATAAGAACCTGGTCTGTGTACCAAGTAATTCTAATCACTTTTTGTAAAGTTTGAGTCGGTTTTATGACTAAAATATTCAAAAAAAAAATAACTATAAAAATAAAATGTTGAGGAAGGCTAATTTAACTTCAGTTCAAAAAAAGAAAGATTGTTGAGGAAGGCGGTATGGTAGGATAATTGATTAAATTATTAGTTTAAAAGTGTATTTTCATCGTTATTATTAGGGTTTGAACCCTTACTAATTTTTTCACTCTTTTATCATTATTTTTTTATTTACAAAAGTTTCACTTACTTAGTCTACCTCATTGAAAAAAAAAATTGTGTTAGGGTCTCTGGGAAGGTCAATTAGAATTTAGAAACATCATGCCATTGGAATTAATTCAAGTGATGGGGTATGATGTAAAGGTTGGAAATACAGCCCCTGAGCGGGTATGGTAATCACTACGGTAAAAATAAAATGCTAAGATCATTAATTTTTTTTTAGTTTTTTAGTTTTTTTTTTAAATAGTGCTTGAAAATATTAATTTATTGAATAATATTAATTTATTAATTAATAATTAATAATTAATTTATTAATTAATAATTATTAATTATAATTATTAATTAAATTAAATTAAATTAATATTTTTTAAGAT